GGCCTTTCTCGTAGAGCTTCTTCTAGTTGAATTTTAAGATCAATAATTTCCTAAGAAATATAAATTTTAGAAAAATGAAAAAAATTTATTGATTGTTTTTTTACTTGATCTTTCCGTTGTATTTCGATTTGTAATGCTGCATTTGTAGATGTACGTTCATCTGATACTATTGATTCAAAATTTGGTTCCATTTCAATAAATTTCGAATGTAATTTATTTATTTTTTTTCCGTTCTCTATATTAATTTCATGTAATTTCTAAAGAGAACAGAATTTTCTTTTTGTTTGTTTTTATTTTTATCTTTTATAAAATTTACATTGATCTCTCGTTCTCTTTCGGATAAATTTTGACGTAATGTTGCAATTAATTGATCACGATTTTCTACATCAGATTTAAGTTGTTTTTCCATTCTCTGAAGAATTTTAAAAAAAAAAGAAATCAAAAGAAATCAAAAATTTTTTATTCACCTCGTTACGAAGAGTTATTCGATTATAATCACTTTGAAGTTTATTATGAGCTTGATAGAGGTTGTTTAATTCTTCATTAGAATGATGAAGAGAATTTTGAAGATTCTAAAAGATTACTCAGACAAGAAAATTCTACTTTTTTTCCTATCATTATATGTTAATAGAGGGTTAGATTTTATGTTTGTTGCTGATAGAAACAAGATATTTTACTATTCTTCTTCCTCTCATTTTTTTTCTTTTTGTATGTCAGTCTCGGTGAGCGTAGTTGAGAAACATCTTCACTTCTTCTCTTTTTTTTTCTCTCCTCTACAATTTCTTTTAGTGAGTAAATGTGAAAAATCGCGTAGTGCTTTTCTCGCACTCGTTAATAATAAAAAGAACTGATAATAAAATGGTGGTGATGAAGTGTCAGGAAAAAAAACGAGCCATTCTCTATGTAGTGCTGATGAATGTGCGTGTGTATGTCTTTCTTACTTCATCTGTATTAGTATATTGGTTTCGATTCTAAATAAGATTTATATAGAATATTTCTCTGTTGATTTTAGTTAAATGTGTATGAGTGAGATTTCTTCTGTATTGTTATACCTGAACTAAATTTTCACGTTGTTTAAATTTTTCATTAAGATCATCAATAATACTTTGATATTGATTACGTTGATCGGATGGAGTTACACCATTTGTTTTCTAGTAAAATTTAAAATAGAGAAGTAAAATAAATTATGAAAAATGTTTTACCTTTGCCATTTCTAATTGTTGTTCTAAATTTCTTATTCTATCCAAATGTGTCTAGAAAAAAAAAGAATAATTTTCTTTCAGTTTTTTTTTTGTTATTAATCATACTTCTTTATCTTCAAGAGCAATATTAAGATTAAAATCTAAAGAGTTACGACGTCGCGTAAGCTCGTCAATTTCAAATTGTAATGCCTTGAAAGAAGAATTAATTGATTAGAAAAAAAAAACTCTACTTGTCAAAAACAATTCAAATTTGTATACATCAATTTTTTGTTCAGCTTCTTGTAATTGATCATTAGTTTGAGTAAATCTACGTTTACAATCTTGAATATTTAATTTTAATTCACTAATATATCGTTCATATTCTTGAGTAATTGAAGTTTTTTCATTTAGTAGTTCATCAATTCGTCGTTCACGTTTGACAAGGTCTTGATGTAATGTTTCAATTGTACTACTATTTGGATTATCAACCTAATAAAAACAAAATATACGGAAAAAAAATACTAGATTTTCGAATTAAAATAAAATTCTTCAACTAACTCTTTTAATATCTTCAAGAAGTTTTTCAATATGTTGATCTTTTATGTTAAGGGATTCAATATGTGTTTGAATAAATTCTTCTTTAGTTTGAAGATCTTTTTCTAATTGTTGAATTCGAATCTAAGAAGAATAAAATGTTTTTTGTTTAATCATATAAATATTTTTATTTCTTTAGAAAACAAATACTTCAAGTTGTGTTTGAGTATCTTTTCGTTCATTTTCAACAACAGTAAGATCGTCTTGACGTTTCTATTATAAAAATTAAATATGTTAATTAATAGTTAAATCTATGTACAAAACTTACTTGTATTAGAATTTCTTTTTCACGAAGTTCTTTTTCGAGTTGATCGATCTTAATATAATTGAAAAAAAAATTTGAATATACATAACAATATTCAAAGCTTTCTTATTTAATGATACTAAGTTACAATATATTCAATAATAAAAATATATTCTTTTGCAATTTATCTAATGTATTTTAAAAAACTTTTGTTATTAAATAAACTTGTACATATGCATTATAGATAGAATATTATTGTACCATAATTTGTTTTTAAAGATAATATCACACAGTTTTATTCATAGACAAAAACTCGGCAGTTTTATAGAAAGGTTTTACTACTGATCTAAATATTCTAAAAATCATTATACAGTTGTTTTTCCTCAGTTATAATTGCTCGGTTACTAAATTGTATTGACCTTCTTTACTCAACAAGTATTTTTATGTTTCACTATCAAGAGTACATTCATAATGTAAGATCTAGTGATATTGAATGTCCTAATATCATTTGATTTCTTTAAATTTATACATCAGGAATATAAAAGGATGGTTATGAATGCTATGATTGTGTAGTAAGACCTCTTAGTAAAATGTCACATGAAAATAAATATTTATAGAATGAGACTCAAGGTTCGCGAGAAAAAAACACAACTCTTATCGTGTAATCAATAGTAGATTATATGAATGGGAGACCAAAAGATATTTTTCCATGAATATAACTAGAGATATTCACAATGGGGTAAGTGGTAACAAATTTTTCTCAGGAGGAAAATTCCACAACTACTTCAATATGTAGACCCAAATGAGTTATAAATATTCTAAAAAAAGTTTGCGTCCTTCGCCTATTGCTGCAGAGATATAGTATTGTCGCGTTCTTTTTAAATGAATGTCGTGGTACCCTCTCAAGAACATTAGAAAATCTAACTTTTGACTTGAAAATCTGTATATAAGCAGACTGTAAGGACAATAGTTTAAGACATTTTGATTTGTTTCTATTCTGAAATAACAGCATATGGTACGCTAGTTTATGTAACAGTGATTTAAAAGACACGTTGTTACTACAATTGTAACTTAGGATAGAAGCATCGATAAGACCTGAAATATTTACAATGAACTGTTCTCATGAAGCTTTGTAGTTTCAAGTTGAAATTTGAAAATCAGCTTTGCTAGTATTTCTGAGGGGAACTACGACATTCATTTAAAAACTACTTTAAAATTCAATATGTCCATAGTAATAAGCTGGGGGCATGAACTTTTTTCAAGGTACTCATAACTCATTTCGATCTACATAATGCACATCGTCTCGACTCAAAAGCTATTAGTCAGTTAGAGGACTTCCTTCCTCAGGGCAGGTGCATCTCATGAAAAAGTTTACTCTGTACATCTCTAAGTAAACTTTTCCAACGAAAAATCAATTACTGAAGCAGCTGCTATTAATTACTGGTTAGGATTATGTTTCAACTTTATTCGTAGAAAGAAAATTTTAATCAATGCGTATATTTTGAATATGAAATAATAAAAAGCTTTATCTTTTTCCTTCGAATTAATTTAAAAAAAAAACAAAGAAATTTTTAACGCCTGTTTGGAATTTACTGGGAAAAAAAGAAAGAATTATATGATCGATCTATTTAATTTCAATAATATATATTTTAATATTTTTTTAAAAATTAAAAAAAAGAATTGCTTTAGGGTAAAGAAGGATTCCATTTATAAAAATTACCTGTATAGATGTTTTCTTTTTTTTTGAATAGAACTTTGAAGAGAGTCTTTCGTTTGAGTATGTTCGATAAATGAAAAGTTTGAGTCAAGATATGATGGCAGAAGTAATGGCATTTACATCAATTTCTTTCTTTCTTTCTTTTTTCTTTTTACTATTCAGTGCAATCAATCAATATGTATTGAAAATAGAGAAAGAAGAGATTCAAGAGCATTTCTTGATTCTTGAGTTTATGTTGAACAACTATGATTGACATTTTTTTGTTTCGATATGCCCCTTTGGTTTCTCCCTTTCCTAACAATTCCTGATTGTTTGTATTGTATTTAAAGTGTTTATAACGGATAGGTTTATATTAGCAAGGAAAAGAATAATATAAAAATCAACTGTTTTTAATTTTTTTATTCTTCAATTATTTTTTAGATTATAGGATTCCTAGATTTTTGATAATAATTTAAAGTTTAGTGATTATTATGACTTAGACTTACATTATTTGGAACAATTGTAAACTGTTGTTTATACTGAAGAGGAAAAAGAGGATTTTTAGTAAAAAAGAAGAATCACTCAAATAAATGTACCTCAGCGATTTGTGTTTCATATGCTTGATTTTGATTTTCTAATTTCTGTTATAAAAAGAAAACAAATAGTTAAAATTTTTATCATTTTTGTTTTTTGCTAATATACTTGTATGCGATCCTTTTGAGTGTTTAATTGACTTGTATATTGACGAGATACATCAAGTTCAATTTGTTTATTGACTTCTTCTGCTCTTCTAAGATCGCTTCTCCAATGTTCAATGTCATTTTCATAAGACTGAAACAACGAAAAATGAATATAATATAGAACAACAATAGAAAAAAGAAATCAAAAGACTAACTTGAATTATTGTATTGGCTTCTTGTAATTCATTTTGTAGGGTCTGTAATTGTCTTTCAAACTATATGAATATAGATAGATCAATACATTTAGATCAGATCGAAAAAAAAGAAAAAAAAGTCTTACACGTGCTATTTCATTAGTCTTTTCTTGAAGAGTACATTCAAGAATTTCTTTTTCTTTTCCAAGATCCTATAATATAAGAGAAATCAATTGATATTTAAATACAGATAATAATTTAATAACTTACATCGGATATTTGACTGTAACGTTTACGATACTTGAAAAGAAAAAGAAAAATTTTGTCGTGAGTAAAAATATTAAAAACTTAGATTCTTACATCTTGTTCATATTCTTGACTAATTTCAAGACGAATTCTAATCTCAAGTCTATCTAATTCATGACGAAGATCCTATGAATAAGATAAATGAAAGATTTTTATAGTTAACTAATTTATTTATTTTTTTCTTTTAACTTACAAAATTATCTTTTTTTAGAGTTTGAAGCTCTGTTAGACTTTGACGATGGCCTCTTTCAAGAACCTCTTTATCATGTAATACTTTATGATATTTCTTTTCCCAGTCCTAATTAAAAACAAAACGAATATGATTATTATAATACTACAACAAAAATAAAACGTCATCCTTTTAACTTACTGTTCTTTCACGTTGAAGAGTTTCATATCGTTCTATTGCATTTTGATTATCACGTTGTAATGTACTAAGTTCATTTTGATACCGTTGTATTACATTGTGATTATCATGTTGTACTATGTTCAGTTCAGTTTGATATCGTTTTTTATCATCATTAATATCACGTGAATGCGTTTCATAGGCAATTATTCGTTCGTTTAACTAATTAGCAATAGAAAAAAAAACAAAGCTATTCGATGATTTTGCTTTTTTTTTGAAATATTTTTTGATTACTTCATTATTTAATTGTGTTAATTTAGTAAGTTTAGTTTCATATTCATATAGTCGATTTTCCACTGTCTAAAGAAATCAATTATTAAAAAAAGAAAAATATGAAAACTAGAACATCTGTCTTACTTGTTTGTCATGTTTAATCATTTGTACTTGATTGTCTAGATTATCTCTTTCCTACAAAAGAAAGTAAAAAAGAATGTGTTTTTTTTTTTTATTTAAATTTTATGGTTTACGATTGCTAATTGAGCTATTTGACTTTGAACATTCTATTCAAAATTAAAATTTTAAAATATTTAAATAAAATAAAATAGATGCTTACTAGGCTTTGGTTTTCAATTTTCTTTTGTTGTTCGACAATAATCAATTGTGACTAGCAAAAAAAAAATATATATATATGTGATTATTAAAACAAAAAAGAAAATATTTACTTGATCATATTGAGTTTGAAGATCTCTAGATCGTGTAGTAGCATTATTTAATTCAATTTGTATTTCATTAACTTTCTTTCTTTCGAACTAGATAAAATTAATTTAATAAAAAATTAAAAAAATTGAATATTTAATTTTTACATCGCGTTCTCGTTGTAGATGAAATCGTTCCTAAAAGAATAAAATAAAGAAATAAAAACAACTTCTTATTTAAATCAAAAAAAAAATGTTACTTCTTGAAAACTAGTTTCCATTTCTCGAAATTCAATAGCATAATTTTCGATTTGTGCTTTCTGTTGCTATTCATTAAAAAAAATAAAAACAAGTATTATACATAAATGTAAAAATAATATGTATATTTTACTTGAATGATGCTTTCTAATTCTTCAATATTTTTGGATTCGAGGTCTTTTTTCTAAAAAGAAAATAAATGATTATTCTCTATATATTGAAATTTGAATATATTTACATCAGTAAGATATTTTATTAATGGTAATAAGTAACGAGAAAACTTCTTCGACTGTCTTAGCTATCGGATTTTTAAAATGTAGATTTTCTAGACGCACAGTTTTCAAAAATTTGTATTTTCGAATTTCGATGTGGAATTTTGTTTATACAGAGAACTCAACAAGACTAACTTCGTTAAAAATATTCAAAAGTTTTCAACAAAGTCTCTTCAAGATATGAAGCTTTCACAACAATCCATGTCATTTACAATATCCATGGAAAGGAACTATATCTTTAAAATCTTATACATCGAAGTGACCTTTTTTCAAAAATTAAAATTTTTTTTTTTTATGGAAATTACTCTAGTTGAGTTATCTATATGTACAAAGTTTCAGATCAAAATTCGACAATAAGAAAGGTTTGTCATTAGAATACTATATCGCATCTCTAGATAAAAAAAAATACAACACTTCTTAAGTCTCCTACAGATTGAATGTATTTCGATGAACGTACATCATGAAGATGTTGGAGATATCTCATTTCGCTCGAGCTAAAAGAAAATCATTTGTAAAAAAATCTTTAAATAAAATATCAGAAAACTAGTTTTGAAGGTCTTGATTTTCTAAAGATCTTTTATTCAAGCAATTTTATTGAAGTTTTTAGACATACTGATCTGCATAGAGAACTATCAAATGTTTTTCCGAATTTTTTATATAGAACTACTCTAAACTTTTTTTCTGTATTGACAATAAATTAGCATTATATACATACTAAATTTTCATAATCTCTTCGTAAATCATTATTTGTTTGTTGTTCTTTATCTAATTCTTCTTGAAAATGACGTATACGTTCAGTTAATCTCTAATATATTCAAATAAAAAGAAAGACTAAAACAAATTTATAATTTGTTAATACATACTTGATTTTGTTCTTGTAAATTTTGTGTTTCCTGAAAAATTTATATAATAAAAAAAAAGGATCTATATTGAATAATAACGCAGAAAAACAAAGAATATACTCGTGTGTATTGAGTTTCAAGATCATTAATAACTTGTTGTGATTCTAATCTCATTCGAGCAATATCATTGGTAATTTCTCTTGAACGACGATCACGTTCATCAATCTAAATATAAAATTAATCATTAATATGAAAATAAAAATTTTCTAACGAATTATACTTGTATTCTTAAATTATTTTTTTCTTGTTCCAATGTTTCAATTCTAAAACCAAATTGATCTTTCATTTCTTTTTCAATTTCAGTTAGATGTGCTTCATATTCCTAAATAATAATCATGAAATAATTATTTGAAAACAGAATTAGAAAAAATTATAATCTCTACTCGAATTTGTATCTCTTGTTTTCTAATTGTAGTTTGACTCTAAATTAAAAAAAAAAGAAAAGAAAAAAATTTCTTTTAATAAATATATGAAAAACAAAAAAAAAAAAAATAATTTTAATTTTTTAAAAGCTTTACATCATCATAATCACGTTTTATTTTCGATATACGATTTGTTAAACCAGATACATCATCAGCAACATTTCGAAGTTGTACTGTTACTTGAGCAACAGCTGCTTCAGGATTCTAAAAATGAAAATTAATTAAAATAATTAGTTAGAAAAAAATCATATTTAAACTTGATGAGTTTCAGTAGCAATCTAAATTAAAACAAAAAAAAAATAGGTTTTGAAAAAAATTTCTGAAAAAAAAACGAAACTTAATAAATACAAACCGATGGTGATGGTCGAGGTAATGGTGGTAACTAGTATAAAACAATGTTAATTTATTATGAAGCTTTGTATTTTCTTTTAAACATACATCTGAAGTTGATGTCGATGGATTCAAAATATGAATTAAATTAGCAACTTGTGTTCGTAAATATGCTTCACTTCGACGAAGTTCATTACATTCTGCTCGTAAATTCTAAGAATTGATCTATGTTATGTATTTAAAATATAAATCAATTGAAAATTTTTACTTCAATTATTTTAATATATGGTTCTAATTTTTCATTGAAGCTTTGAGAATTCTAAAAATTAATTAATTAAATATTTATTGTAATAATTTCTTGAAAAATATACTAACTTCTTCAGTTAGGTGAGAACTCGTTGATAGTGGAAGTGGGCGTTCAGTGAGTTCCTGAATTTTAGCTTCAAGTTTCTATGTGGTTTTTTGAAAAAAAAAATATAGTTTTAGATTTCAATTTTAGTTTTTTTTCTTTTTTTTGTTTCTCTCTTATGTGGAATCATACTTTAATGATACAACCTTGGTGACGTATTGTTCGAAGGTGTTCTTCGCAATTGCCATCAGAACCTGTTTGTTCTTGCTATATAAACAAAAAAGAAAACCAAATCAGAATAAAAAATCCTTTTTTTTTTAAATAATAAAAATCATCGTCTTTCTTTCGTACTGATTTTTGTCAAAACTCGTGAATAATTATGTAATAAAGCATTGACAAAAAAAAACCAAGCAAAACAAAATTTTATCTGATAATAGTTAGCAAAATTCAATTATAGTATGATGGAAATTAGAGCATAGCTGAGCGGGAAATTTTTTTTATAAGCCATGTGAAATACAAACCAATGGATAAGTAAAACGAATTCGAGCAAGTAATGGCTAAAAGAAAATGTTTTTCTTTCATCGTTGAGATAGATTTTATTCTTTCGGATTAAACTCTTTTACAAAAGATTAATAATAAGAAATATATTTTCCTTTTTTTTTTTGCGTTTTACCTCATGTCGATATGATTCAAATACAGCTAATTTTTTTTGATGTTCTCCTTCCAGAGTCTAGATAAAATGATATTAAACAAAAATGAAATTTTGAAAATTTTTGAAATATTACAGAAATACGTGTATCATAATCAGCTTTTAAACGTCTCAATACACGTTCGGATTTGATTTGTTCTTCTTTATATTTCTCATTAAGTTGTTCTAGACTGTTATTAACCTATTAAACAATGAAGAAAAAAAAAAACAAAAGAAATATTATCTTTAAACAAGTTTCTATTTACTTCAGTTAATTTTGACCTTAATGAAGCTGTTTCCTGTATTTAATTTATAAAAAGAAATCGAGTATTTAATATGACTAGTTTTGTTTTCTTTTTCAATACTTGTTTTAATAAATTATTTTCTTCTTGAAGTTTTCTTTCACGTTCATTGAATTGTACAGTATATTGACTAACAGGCATTGCTGTGTCTGAAGTTACTGTTGTGAATGTTTGAGTATTTTGACCAACAGTTGATAGTCTTATATTCTCTCCAATTTCACCAGAATCACGAAGTAATTTACGAAGTCCTGAACTTTCTTTACGACATCGTTCAAGTTCAAGTTTTAATTGTTGTAACTCATCGCTTTCATCAGTCGATCGAATAGCACTAACTTGTGTCTCTTGTTGACGGCTTGACAAGAAAAAAAAATGAAAGTAAACAAATCGATCAACAGAACAAACCACAGCAGTCAACAAAAAAAACCAATATGTTATGTTTTTTGTTAAAAACGTTTTGATAATTATACCTAATGGAATTAGTTATGACGTTAAAAATAGACATACCTGACATGTAGAAAAGAAAAAAAATGATAGTCTGCAAGTATGTATGTACAAACGTGTGTAGGTAGAGAGGTATTGTAATGAGCTTTTTGTCAACATTAAGAGTCGCTTAATTCATGGTTTCTCTTTGGAAAAAAAGAAAGAACTAAAGCACAATGATGAGTCTAAGATTTTCGAAAGGAGGCGATTATGATTATAAAACTTGTTTTAAAACCTATCAGAGGTCGTATCAAATCATTGTTAGATATTTTCTACTGAGAAAAATTGAAAAATATTTCAGAAGTACAGGGTGATCACTCTCTATACCTTCCTTCTAAATCGGTCGTTGATATAGCAAGATGAATACGTAATAGTATGTACTGTAGAGTGTAGTGTGTAGAGCTATTGAATCAATAATTGAAATCAGAAGTACTACTAATCAAAGGTTATATTCAATAGGTAAAATAAACTTCTATTGTACATGAGAAAGGATAAATTTTAATTGAAAATAAATATTATCTCAATTGGTTAGTTGACAAAACTTAAAACTAAATCATAAAAAAACAATAGAATTACCTTGTATCAAAATCATTAATATATTCCACTTCATCAACACTTGGCTCTCGTATCACTGCTGAATGTGTTGCACCCATTGTCAAACAATAAGTTGAATACTTTCAGTTGTCTTTCATCTCTATTACTTCATCTGTTCGATCACTCTTTCATTTTTCTCTCTGCTTATTCTTATACCTTCTATGGCTTCAATACTCTATACAGTCAAGTACATTTATATAGAACAATTGCGATTGAGAAGATCAAGAGACAGAATTTGATTTCGAGAAAAAAAAATGAAAGAATAAAAAGGGAACGAAAGAGACTAAAATCACATCATTCAATAGTTCATTATATATTTTTAGGCGTCGATTAAACTTAAGAATAAAACGCATATTTTGAATAAAGATGAAAGCGTATATTTTGTGTTGATTTTAAATAAGTACAAACTAAAAGTAACATACCGAATTACTGATGATGTTTGCTGATCTTGATCAGATTCTTTTGATGATTGTTCGTTATTAGACTAGAAGAAATAAAAAAGATAATTAATAAAATTTAAAAAATTCTTAATAATTTTACTGTTTGTTGTAGGTCACCATGGCGAATTGGTGATGTATGAAGAGCACGACGACGTTGAATTGCTGTTGATGATGTATCTTTATTATCTAATGTAACTGTACTTTGTTCTTCAAGAAAAAATATTCGTAATTTTAAATTAAAATTTTCACGTTTAAGCTCTTGAAATTCCTAAAAGAAATTTAATATCTAATCAATTCAATATATTCAATAAATAAGGAGAAAAATAATGCAAAAAAGATAGAGAATAATTCTTTTCAACTAACCAGTTCTCCCATCGTGTATTTTTTTTATCTTTCAAGTGTTAAAATACGATGACATCGAACATAATATAGGTACAAACATGCATACATATCTTCTATCTCACTTTTTTTTCACGGACAGCCAAATACAGATTAGATGACAGAACAGCATTTGATAATCGAAGACAAAAGAAAAAAGAAGTATCAAATGTGACAAAATACTTTTGTTATTTATTGAAAAACAATAATTGTTATTTAGGTTAACTATAAACATTCATAATAAAAGAAATAAATGTAAGATTTTGTTACAATTAGACACACGAAGAAAACAACTCATAGATTATATTAAAGCAGAAAAGCGACATTTCGATTAAATATAGAAAAGATTTATTTTTTCTTTTTTAAAGTATTCTAAATCGATTTATTGAAATGAACTAATATTCGTCATATAATTTTTCACAGCTATATGAATTTCTTCTTTTCTAATTTTAATGATAAGAAATAAATACACAAACGTAAACTGTGTTTGAGGAATTTTTATCTACAAGTAGATATGTAAAGTATGTATTATCTTATCTCTTAATTAGAGTTTTGGTGCTGACATTTGTAGTTGCAAAAACTACTAGTCATAAAAGTTGTTATCAAAAACACTGACAGATTGGTTATGTTTAGTTTAGTCAAAATCTATGCGAATTTTCAATCACCTGAATCAATTAATTTGTTCCTAATGAAACAATAAATATGAAAAAATACTGAAAAACTATAAAAAGAAAAAAAAAAAGAAAAGTTAATTATTTACCGTATCAAATTCACGTACTGTCCTTGGATTAGTTGAAAGAGTTACATCGGGTATAGCAACTGCTGCCGATAGATTTTCTAAAAAGACAAAAGCAATTGATCTATGTATTTCAAAAACAACATTCTTACCATCAGATTTAACCGATAAAACATCATCTTCTTGGCTAGAATCCATAACTATTGTCAATTTACAATACTCAATAATAAATTACTAAAAAAATTTCATTGAAAAAATCAAAATAATCTTCTTAGCAAAAATTATGTAGAAAAAGATCTAACAAATATTGCTTTGGATATATTATTTATTGCTAACTGTAAACTTATAACTAAGTATGTCTATTTACTTTTAATCAATTTATATGAACAAAGACTCTAGATATAAAATCGCAATTAGATAACCTTCGTAAATCTTTTCATCAGTTTCTCAATAACATTAGATGGCGCTCTTCTTTGATTTGTCAATTCTACAAGGTCCTTGTCCGAACAATGTTGATAAGAACTGTACGACGCAATCGGATACATTTGTTTAAATAAAAAGCGTTCCTTATGATGATTATATAACACATTAAATATGTGTACTTCGCACAATTGCCCCTATTCTAATAAAATGTATAGGAAACACATTCTTTTTTCTAAATGGCTCTCTTGCTCTTACATAACAAACCATCGTATTTTGTTTTAATTGTAAATATCTCAACTAAAAAACGAAAAAGAAATAATAGGTAAGATTTGAGAAATCTTACCTATGCACTAGTCTATAACGTCTTCTCTTAACATGCCTTGTATTTATTATGGTTTGTCGTTATCTATTTGTTCTCCCTTTCTACTCTATTTATTTGACGAATATACGCTTTTTCCACACACATGTCTTTTTTTATTGTGGTTAAAAAAAACAACGACACACACACACACGGATAACGTCGTCGACTGCTGTTATTCTCTTCTTTGGCATCACTACCACCGTCTCCCCACCATCACACATCATGGTGTGTTAACTTTAGTAGAGAGTCTGAGGAAAAAGAAAACGGAGAAACAGAAAGGTAAGAAGACACAGAACAGCACGACGAGCTGCGTAGAAGAGAAACACTATGTATCTTTCTATTTCGTTTGACTGGAATAAAATTTTTGTTATTGATATACTAACAGGTGAATGTTATCGTTACAGACCGATTCATTTGTTGATAAATACACCTGTTTATTTAACTTCACAATATGCATGAGGCAAAACAAAAACAAAACGATAATAATTAATTTGTTTGAATTAGTTTAAATAATTATATATGATAGAATCATTTGTTTTGTCAGCATTTGACTTTTTAATGATTCCAATTTTTTTCATAATGCATAAAAAATTTCATCGACGTGCTTATTTTATTGACATGCTTTTGAAAAGAAAAGAATTTTATTTTCACAGTAAATAGGTCATTTAGAAAAATCGATTAAATTAATTGAAAATTTTTCATGTGAAACATAAATGTGATTTCATATTAAAAGTGGATATTTACTTGATAATTATTTTAATAAATATCTTAATATGAACTTATTCTATCTGAAATTAATAAAGAATGATGTTGAGCAAGAAAATGTATACCAATTCTTTTCCACTGCCGTCAACTCTCTTGAGAATTCAAGTAATGATTTTTTTTTAGAGAAATTTATTTTCAATAAGAATTTTTCAAGAGAAAAGTTTCTGAAAAATCAAACTCTAAGTTTTTCAGCTCCTGTAATTCGCAAATAGACGTCTATTTGAATTATCTAGAATGATTAAGCAAACAATTCTGTACAAAAAGGAAACGTTTTTCAATTCTTTGCGATGGTTTTTTGGCATAAATAAATCAACTATAAAGAAAGCATAAAAATGATGCTTTCATACCAAGTAACACGAAGAAAACGACGTTTATGTCTTACATCAACTTGATGTTTTTCGATCTAAAAGTGCCGTAGAGAGCTGAAACACACAGAGATGAAACTAACACCAATCTGAGTAGACTGAATTGATCAGTTGATCCGATATCTATACTGACGCTGAACTGACGAGTTGTCATATTATTCCATCTGTAAAGGCCAGTCTGAGCTCTATACCGATATTGATTTCCTTTTTAGGAAGATGCTTGATCCTATAAAGAACTGTTTTCTCTATCATTCGAAATAGTTCATATAGAATTCTATTTATGAATGCTCAGAGCTAGAAAATATAAATTTTGGTTATTTCAGAAATTCTGTCCTTGAAAAACTAGCAATCACTTTTATCTCCAAATATTTTCGTTTGAATGCAAAGCTCTACACAAAACACTATTTGAATGCTTCCGAGGGTTTATAGTGATGGAAAAAAAAGAAGATTATTTTGGAAGTCCCTATATATATATATATATATTGTTCAAACATTGTACAAACGGCTGAAAGTACAACCATTTACTTTCTTTTCATCTTTCGTATCAGTCAATATTTTGAATTATTACATAAAAAACACTTTTTTCTAAAATCTCATTGATCAAATTGATATATGAATAAAGACTGACCATTGTTTGTCCTTTTAGTATATATATATATATATATATACAGAGAATGACAAAATATGATTTTAACAGTACCATTGAGTTATTGACCTTGATTTGTAAGAGACTTGATATAATCGAACACAAAAAAAAACTTGAATACACACAGAATTAATTAGACAGTCGAATGTCATAAGGCTCCTCGTTAAAGATAAATATTTATTATGATAAAAAAAATTATATGCACAATCTACACATATAAAATATGGTACACATTTATTTTATGCAAATTTGTTGCGGTTTTTAGACGACATGTATATGATAATATATAATAATCATGTATATTTCTTATGTTGAATTCAATGAAATCAAAAACAATGAACATTGTATAAATAAACTTTTATATGAAAACAAAGTCATGATCTTTTTATTGTATAAAAGCAACGAACCATAACAAATTTAGTAACACTGAAAAATAATTTTCATTATATAGAGTTGATCGGCTAACTTGATCAGCTAGAAAAATTAATTATTCCATCAGAAAAATTTTTCAGTTTAATTTTATTATACAAGTAATCTAAGTAGATTTTTTTAAATCAATTGATATATTTTATCATTTATATGTGGATTCTTATTGAAAAATTGACAAGAAGATCAATAATTTCCAAATGACAGTAACATTTGTTAAACAGTACCAATATCATGTGATTGACATACACAATAGAAAACGGTAAAGTGATTGCCAGCTGTTCAATAATTGATAGCTGGTTTATTCTGTGCATTATGCCAATAAACACTTTCAATGAGTTTCCCTACTTACCTATCATAGTATACATGCTCAAAAAAACGATATCTTCATTTTAAAAGTAAGATCTTAAAGTTTTAATTTAAAAGGGTAATCTCATATTAACCTATTCATGATTATAACCAGTTCAGTTTTATTCTATTTGAAACAGAATGAGTACAGAACAGAACATTACAGTCATTCTAGTTCCTTGTCCTATAGTACAAAGTGAGAAATCATTTTTAGTCGTGTCCTGTCGGTTTGCAGGACGATGGTCTAACGTAGAACAGGATAGAAAACGGCTGTCCTGTATTGTTTGACACACTAGGTTATAGTTTTAATAATATAAATCAACGTATTATTACAATAATCACTTATTGTGTTGCTAACTTTTTGTTATATTTATCAACTTAACAATGATTCACATACATAGTTGTAGTATTGAAAAATAATATTGAGTAAATTGATTATTTGATAATGGACAAGTTACCTTGTTTTTTGTTTAAGTGTATATAAAAAAAAATTATACTGTATGTCCATCTCTTATTTACACTTTATATGTTCTAAAATGGATATTATAATATTGAATATTCTTGTATTCATATCTATTTATAATTCTGAGAATCGTTGATAATAACAGAAAATTGTCTTTTTCTATATGTAAAATTCATCATTTGTAAAACTGACAAAACTTCGATAAATCAAAAGGAAAATTTTCAATTATAATAATAAAAAAGAAACAAGACTTCTTGTAATAATATTATGAAGTAGTTTCATAGCGCCATCTGTTTCTCATGTAAAAAGAAACAGAAGTAATTCTTTTTACA